TCAGGGGTGCTCACTTATGCATGCCCACACCAAGCACCATCAGGCATCCGTTCCCGAGGCCACGTTCCCAAGTGCCTCCTGCATTCAAGGCTGCAGGCGACAGCCACAGAGACCCGGCACAAATGCCTGAGCAGCTTCAGTTACCCAACATGGGGCTATTGTGATCATTGTAGGATGCTTACAGTGACCCAGCCACCTCCACCTGTCTCCATGACAGGTCCTGACCCAAAGCAGTGGTCCTTTGCCCTACAGGAGAATTCACAAGATAGCACTAAGTCTAGTTGGACCAGGCCAGGCTTTATCGCGCATGAAGAGCCAGCGTGGAAAGGAGGTTCAGCTTGTTCCCCTTGAAGGGAGTTAGGAGATCTTTAAGGCATAAGTCCACAGGCGAAGTGGAGGGCGGCAGCATCCTAGCTTGTTCTGGGTTTGGCTGTGCCCGGGCATGCACACACAGGTAATGCTCCAAGTAAGTTCATCAACAGTCGGGACCTCAAGCCGCTTGTCCGGCCTGGCGCCTCATGGCCAGCGTGGTGGGCCACGTGTCTGGCCAGGGCTCACCAGTCCATGGTTGAGTTCACCTGTTACAGAGGGCTGGGCAGCTCATCCTCCAGCTGGTTTCTTTTACCCAGACTGTCTCATCTCCACATTGCCAGATGTCCCCCAAGGAGGGCAAAATCACCCCTGCATGATTATCCGAGTTAACTTCATGGTGCTGAGAAGTGTATTTGTGGAGTGGCCGCGTGCTTCTCCTGGTCCCCTTTTTAGGCTGTTCTGAGCCACCACCGCAACCTCCTTCCCTGCAGAGGGCCTCCTGGCTGGCGTCCACGCTGCCATGGGCCGCCGCTCACACCACTCCTGCCTAATGCTTGCATGGCTCCAACTGGATTTGGGACAAAGTCCAAACACCTGGGCACACCTGAAAGGCTGCAGCCCCCCACCCCCACCCCAGCCATAGTGTGTCTGCTGCTCACTCTGAGCCCCAGGCACACACAGCAGCGCACCTGGACCTGGCCTTGGGGTGTCCTCGGACCCTGGGCCCACCGCAACACTCTTCAGCTCACCTGCCCACCTTTGCCCTCTGCCTCCATCTACTCTTACTGCCTAAATGTTACTCCCTCTAAGATTCTGATTCTGGGTTTGGAGGTTCCTAGATGGTTCTGGGTCATGAGAGTGAAGAATTCAAAGCCATATCTAGGGAAAGCAACGCAAAGTTTATTTAGAGATGGTACACTCAGAAAAGGTCCCGCGGGCAGAGTGCAGGGGAGGAGGATACGGCTGAGGAAAGGCAGGGGCCTCCTGGCCTAAATGGGGCGCAGGAGGCTGCTCATTCTGTCCCTGGGGGGGTGGGCAGCACAGGCGCTCCTCAGGTGCCGATGAGTCGGTCCAGGCAGGTCTTCCCAGGACACTCCCCCTTCTACAGTGCTCCAGGGGTGTAGCATTATCAGCTCTGGCAGCAATGGGGTGGGGACTGCCTTTCCCCTCTCTGGGGGTTCCTTGGCTCTCCTTGGGCTTTACCAACTCTGGCAAGTATATCCTGGGGTCCTCGTAGTTGACCATTTAATTTTTTTTAGGCATCGCCCTGCCCTCCCTGCTCTAATAATTCTTCCCCTGAATCCCTGGACTCCCCCCAAGCCACTCCCCTCGTCCATAGCCCAGCACCTTATGCTTACTGCAGTGGTAGATTCATCCCCAAGTATGGCAATTGCCTAGTTACTTGTTTGCCTTTCTTATGAGCTCTAAAGCCTTGAGGGCAGAAACTTTCTCCCTCTAGCCTCCAGTCTTTGTACCAAGCAACATTTACTAAGCACCCACTAGCTGCCCCTGCTGTGCCAGGAAACAGCAGGGAAAACTGTCTTCCCCTCATGAAGCAGGCAGCCTGGCAAGGAGCGTAAGTGCTACATCAGCAGTGAGCAGGGAGGTCATTACAAATGAACGTGCAAACGTGCTGGAAAGAACTAGCCCAGCGGCACGGAGCAGTCAGGCCACGAATACTCGCCTGTCGAGCGGATGAACAAGTGGGCTGTTGAATCGCATCATGGTTGAAGCCTTGAATGCTGCCATCAGCCCGGCCAGAATTCAAATACTTAACTTTTGTGTTCTTTGGTTTTCTCTTATAAAATAAGATCAGTGTTACCCAGTTCATAAATGTCCCGAAGTGAGAATACATGCAGCTCTCTCGGCAAGATGCCCGAGGAAGTGCTCCCCAGGAGTTCCCAGTCACAGCCACTTCCCATCGGGCCAGCCAGGTGCACCCCCAAAGTACCACTCAGAGATGCAGCGCTCTCTGAGTATTCGTGGAATTCCTTGGGGGCTTAGTTGGGGAGAGCAATTCCAAAATTGGCAAGGGCAGGAGACAGGTATCCCAGGACCCCGAGCATCCATCCAAGGACTGGTGTCTTCACAGAGTGGCAGACACAGTCAGAAAAAGCTCTTTCCTGTTCTCTCCTCCCCCTGCCACTAGCTCTCCTGCGCTAGTTGCTACAGGGCCATTTGCAGAAGCCCTCACTTTCTAGACCTGTGACCTGTTCAGCCCCCAAAGCATGCATCCCACTAAGACCGCGTAGCCTTCTGAGAGCGCAGCTATGACTCTTTCATTTTTGCATCATCCACTGCGGCAACAAAGGGCCCTCCTTGTGGGGTGGGGGTGCCCTCCCTGCCAAATGGATCCTGAACACCAGTTCTCAAAATGGGGTCCCCAGACCATCAACAAGGAACCTGTTGCTCCAGTCCCACCCGCACCTCCAGAATCATGGGCTCTGGGGCTGAACCTGGGGGCTGTGTTTGTGAGGGGCCACAGTTCTAGAATGAAGGAAGGGGCCCATAGGAGGCCTCAGCCATCCTGCCAACCTTGCATGCGGGGCTGCTCCTGCTACCACTGCCGCACGCACCCTCAAGCCGCGTGGCCCAGCTTTCATCCTGAGAAGGGCAGCAGCCTCCTTTTCGCAGGGGGCTCCTTCCAGAAGAATCCCTGACCAAGGGCTGAAGACAAATCGTTGTTGCCTCCTGTCTGTCCCACCTCTGGCCAAGATTCCTTCTCCTCTTTTAGTAAAACTCTTCCCTTGCTGGAGGATGTATCCCCCAAGAGAGGTCAAGGCCAAGAGCAGTTGGGGTGAGAAAAGATGAAAGAAGAGGGTAGGGACGGGGCATCCACCTTGCAGTACTTCATTTTCCGAGTTCCATGACTCCGAATGCCCAAGTTCATGTTGGTCAGTTTATCGTCAAATTGGATTGAGATTTTTGGGGACTACCTCAGTGAACTAACGATGGTAGACCATGCTCACCATTATTTGCTGAAGTTGAAGTAAGGACTGTGTGAAGCTTTGCAGCGCGTCCTTGTTGCCTTCATTGTTGCAAATGAGAATCACAAAACAGTGGATCATCAAAACCCCTTGGGGATATTCACCCCAAACACACTTAGAAAAAAGTTTGGAGGCGGGGGGGGGGCGGGGGATGCTGGGCATTGAGAGGCTGGGCCTCCCCCACCAGCTTTCTGTAGGACACTACAACTTGGAAAGCTGTGAGTGCAGCTTTGGGAGAAAACTGTCCACCCAAGAAGATCTCTGAGGCCTCCACCTTATCCTGGGCAGAACTGGGTGCAGCCCATCTCCAGACTTCTCTGGCTCGCCCCTGCCCTGGCGCCTTCCTGTGGCAGAATGTGGTCTCCACATGGATGCCGGTATTGGGCGAAGAGGTTTCTTTCTTCTCCCTGGCACACTCCTCCCTGGAGCCCCGGAGCCAGAGGTCATGGTTGGGGTGCCTGGGCCTGACTCCGCCGCTAGAGGAATTTGGCTTGCGAGTCATCACGTATCTGGACGACATTGACCCCTCATGTTGCCTTGACGGTGGTTGGCAGGAGCTGAGAGGAATCCGCCGCTTCTCTGAGTCTGCACAGACCCTCCCCACCTTCCTAAGGCAGAGGCTGTAGTTTTCACATGTTTGCCTGAACTGCCTGGTTTGAGGGGTTGTGGCCTCTATCCAGAACCTCCCTGGTAAGGGGGGTCTCAGTGACCCTCGAGTATCTGCCAACTCCTACTCAGCAGATGCTGAAGCCATGATGAGGAGTTCAAGATAAGGGGGCCTAGGCCTTGCCTCCCCAGCACTCCATGACTCCCACAAAGAGAACAAATTAACCGCCTCTTTGGGGAACTGATCTGGAGCCTGCCGTAGCAAGGCCGTTTCCCCCTGGTCACCACACATATGCTGAAATGTCTGAGATGACCCCAACATTTCTGTATTCCACTTTCCTGGGCTGGGTCAACCCCAAGCATGCACGCTGGGTTCTCCTTTCATACTTTGTTCCTAGAGTACATGTCACAAGCTAAAATTCACAAGGTGACCTTTCACCCCTGGCCCTCAGCCACGTTATATTTCCAGGGAAATTATAATTCCAGGGAAGCAAGTGATATTGTCGTCTTCCAGAAGTAGTCTGTGTGTCATATCCAAATGTGTGTTTATTCTCCCCACATTTAATGCAGATGGCATCATACTCTAAAAGCCTGTCCTACGTCATGCCCCCACCCCTCTTGGGAGGTGCCTGCCGGCACCCAATGCTTATCACTATGCCAGAACTCCCTCGCTGTGTGTCTGACTGCTGCCACTCCCCACATGTCTGTGGGGTGCTCTGTTCAGCTGCTCCCTGCCCATGGGCAGAGGAGCTGTGGTCCCGCCTTTTGCTTAAGCAGACCACATGCCCCTGTGCGGGTGTGTCTGAAGGACAGCCCCTTCGCAGTGCAGAGCTGGGCAGAGGGTCAGAAAGTTTGCAAATCTGATAATCCTGTTGTGTGCGCTTCAGCGTTGTGTCCCAACCCCAGCCCCTCTGGGTGAGCGTGAGTGCTGGCTGCTCCGCAGTTGACGCATGAACCACTGGCGTACCCCATCATCTCTGGGCATGAACTGGCCCGAACGGGGGCCTGTGAGTGCTGTGACCTGGTGGCAGAACTGTCCCAGCTTCTCCCATCTCTCCCACAAGGTTATTTTCTTTTTTGTTCTGTGCCTTGCAGATAAACTGTGTGACATTCCCTCACCCAGACACCATGCCAGAGCAGCAGCTGCTGAAACCGACTGAGTGGAGCTACTGTGACTATTTCTGGGTAAGTGGTGCCTCGGTTTCCCCTCATAGTGGCCTGGAGGACCAGGAGAAGACACTCAGGAGGGCATGAAGGGCCTCAAGCTCAAAGCAGAGGGGCCTTTCTGTGAAAACCGAAAGAGCAGACAGTAGATTTAGTGTCTGAGGCCCAAACTGAAGCCCAAGTCGTTCTGGAAATCTCAAAGTCCTTGGAGTTCCCAGGGCAGTACAGAGACCCCAGGCAGATGGGAGAGAGGCTGGAGACCAGCCTCAGAGAGGGCAGGAGACCAGCATCACCTGTCACAGGTGCTGTCACAGATGTGGGTGACCTGGACACGGTCTTCTCATCCTTGGGCCTCACTGTTTCCGTCAATCATGAGAAGACTGGGCTCAAGGACCTGCAGAGAGCTCCAGCTTTGATCTGATCATTCTGTGCTTCACAGCATGTGTGCCTTGTTGAGTGGGCACCGAGTTTCCGAGCTGCAAGGTAAAAAAGATCTGAAGAAGGAGGGAAGGTGGTGAGAGTCACCGACGATGTGGATGTGTGTCGTGCCACTGAATCGCACACTTTAGGTGGTTAAGATGGTAAATTTAATTACATGTATTTTTCCACAATTCAATAAATGTCTTTGTACACTTTCAGAGTCCTGCTCCTCAACCTCTGGGCATGTGCGCTTTACAGAGAGTAGTGACCTTCTAATTGAGATGGGCCCAGCCTAGAATCAGATCATGCTCATGGTTGCACAACCTTGTGAGCATATTAAGACCACTGAATAATATACTTAAAAGGAAACAAGTTTATAAAAACCCAAAGAACAATAAAGTGATTTTTTTTACCTCCATGCAGAATGGATTATTTACTCTTAAGATTTGCTCACTGAGTGCTCAACCACAGTGCTTTCTCCTTTCTACCAAATCATGTGACATTAGGAGGCAGCCATATTCCTCTTGCCCCTGCAATGCTTCTTCCACAGCTGAGACCCTGGCAGGTGCAGCCAACATCATAAAAAGGGATCAGACGGACTTGGGGCTAGAGTGGGGGACACTTTGTGGCCACCACAGCACATTGGATTTCATTCTTGCAGTATGTGTGGTGGGTTTACAAAGAAGTATGATGTGATCTCATGTGATGCATCCTGCAGGGAGGACTGTGAGCGACAGGGGTGGAAGTTGGCAGGTGGTTGCTGCGGCCCAGGGAAGATGGTGGCAGCCACGGACACAGAGGGAAATGAGTTTGAGGACATCACACGAGGTGGAGTGTGTGGGAGGATGAGGTGGTGTCCCAGGAAAGGGCATCCTGGAGCTGGAGGCCAGATTCGGGGTGTCATGTGTGAAGATGAGAAGGCTTTGAGAATGGGGAGGGAGTGTCATTCAGCGCACTAGTCAGCAGCATTCAAGAGAGTGACTTTGTAAGTTGGCATCTTCATTCAGGCTCCCCTGGGACTCAGATACTTACTCTAGCATTTTATCTCCTTGACCATCAAAGCCTTTTCCTCTAATAGAAATGATTCTGCCGGCACAGCCATTAGAGCCCATTTCTTCTGGCTGGTTTCCCTGCGATGGATGAATCTCTCAGCAAATCCATTTGTAAGAAAAGCAGTGTGGGGCTCCGTATTTTGGGTAATTTTTCTCTGGCTTTTTCATCCAGATGTGGCACTCATGCAACAAAATGAACAAATTTAAATATATATACTTCAAGAACCTTTTAAGCTGCCACGGCAGCCCCCCATGATATGGCTTACCCCGTGTGAAGTACGCTCCCTATCACAAGAGGTGTCAGACTGTGGCCCAGAGGAACCTTGAGTCTAAGCAGACAATGAAGGGGTCTCCCATCAGGCGTTCGTGAAACCTTCCACCTATTTGACAGTGGTCAGTGGGGTTCATTCCAGGTATTGGCAACTCCTTTCTTTCCTCTAAAGTGTCTGTGCTGGAATACAGGGGTCTTAGAGATGCAACTTGGTCCTATTTAGGGAGAAATGGAGGAGGGAACCGTCTAGAATTGTAGACACTAGACCCATCACACAGTGACTAGCAGTGGACACTACAAGCCAGTCTTTCCAAACTCGGGACCAACTTCTCATGGAGGCACCTCCCTCTGGGATGTCAAAGAACCTGTTTCTGCTCCTTCCCTTAAGTGTGAGGCATTTGACTATGGGATTCTGGTGGAAAGCACTGTCTTGGGGGAGGACCATTCCTCAGTGTGCTGCTGGCCAGGCCCTGGCAAGGCTCCTGAGTTGTCTGACCCCTGGCTGTGTGGGCCAGGCCAGGATGGGTGGCCTGCTGGGAAGACCGTGCGCGGGGGCGTCGCTCGGGACATGGCCAGGGGTAGAACAGGAAAGAATTATTCAGTGATCCTTGAGAAAGTGCAAGCAAAACAAAACAAAACAAGAAAAGCAAAATACATGTAATTGTGAAATATGCTTAAGAGTGCTTGCAAAAGGAGTGCAGCACAATGTTTGCATTTCATTGACTTGACCATCTTCCTGATTCCTGACTTTTATTTAAAAGTCATTAATAACAGATATCATTTATTCAGAACTTACTGTGTGCTAAGCTGATTCCATTTGGTATTTATCCTGAAATGACCTTATGAGGTTGGTCCCACTATTTCCAGTTCCACAGACAAAGCAGCTCAGGCTTAGCGGGAGGGGAGAATTTGCCTGTGGTTCCCCAGCTGGGATGTCAACCCAGACAGCCTGCCCTTTTCCCATCAGTTCCAGTTCTCCCCTGAAACCACTATGAGCTTTCATGACTATGCACTGGGGGCTGTCCCTGCCCAGACAGTGCAAGAAGCTCATAGGACACTGGCTGCTTTCAGCTCACAGGCCCTGCCCCAGTGTTCTGTCCCAGGCTAGAGGAGACATAGCCAGCCTCAGGATCCGCCTGCTTGGAGGTTGTAGGCAGTCAGAAGTCACAGTCGCTGCTCCTGGATCCTCGGCCTTCCTGCTCTTCTTTCTCCTGCAGGGAGCTGGGGATGGGGCATGGGGATGGCTGGCAGCAGCTGTAAGGGCCTCAGCATCAGAGAGCCCCAAGGGAACAGGGCTCCAGAGGGAGATACAAGGTGGGGCAATCGTGATTGCAGTTATAGTCCCAGCTCTGGGTTGCAGGCACGTCTGGCTCCCATCCAGAGTCTCTCTTCCTCACACTCTATTCACCCTGCTCCAGACACTGGTGTCACCTTAACTCTGCTTCCATTTCCTTTTTAGGCTGATAAGAAGGACTCCCAAGGCAATGGCACTGTGGCTGGGTTTGAACTGCTGCTTCAGAAGCAACTGAAAGGCAAACAAATGCAGAAGGAAATGTCAGAATTCATTCGAGAAAGGTAAAGCCTGGGCCTCTCCCAGCTCCGGAGACTGATGACACTGCCTCCTTGGCCCCTTGTCCTGCACAGCCGAAATGCCCCTGCAGACCTAACACTGTGCTGGGTTAGCCCTCGGGGGAGCGGGTGCCACAAAATTGTGGCCTTTGGGCAGATCCGGCCAGCAGATGGGTTGCTTTATCTTCGGTAGTCCTTTGAAAGATTTGAAGCAACATGCTTTTAATTGGTACATTTTGCATTAATAGATATTTAGTCTCTCATGAGAAAGGAGCAAGTCTGCAGCTGGTGACTCCACATCCCTTAAGCAACAATTGGCAGGATAAGTAGCAGCTGCTCCTGTAAAGGGAATATTTACTTCCAATTTGCCACAGTCCCCACCACTCCCTACTACCCCACGCTGCTTGACTCCTTACCTACCTGGCTCCCAGTTGAAGCACTGTCCTTCAAAAGAGGACAGTGTCACTTTTCCATTCATCTTTGAACCAAACTGTGGATGAGGTTTAGGATAGAGAAAACTCCACCTTCCTAGCCTGCCTTTAAGGAGAGCAGTCTAAAGGAAGATTCAAATAGAGTCATCATGATAAAGTACAGGATAATAATAGTGCTCTGTCTGAAGAATGGCTTGTCTGGACATTGATGAAACAATAAATGCATCCTGGTGGCAATAGGAAAACTATTTGAAAAGCTCTTTCTCCTGGTCTCCCTTTCCCCACATTCTGAACCCCCACATATGAGTATACACACATACATAGTGTACACACATACACTGGAAATATTTACAGTAAGCAGCAATGATATTTTAAATTATAACAATGATCAAGTAATCTTTGGTATTTAAAAAAACATATTTTTCTTAGGATACCCAACTCCTATTTGTGTAATAAAATATTTCATGACGCATTAAACTAGTAGGAAATTGAGAGGTTGCATAGCTCAGGTGCAAGAAAACAATAGTATACAACAGGCAAATAAGAAATTGGCTGAAAAGCCAAAGTTTGAACACTATGCTTTCATAAAAAACATCATGTTAAAAACCCTCCCCAATGGTGCAGCAGGTTAAAGCACAGCACTAAGAAGCTAAAGCTACTTCAGCATGAGTTCGATCCCTGCCCCGGAGCTGACCCACAATACACAGCAGACCTCTCCCAACCCGCCTGCTGTTCCTCTAAGCAGTGTACTCCTCAGCAGTGTACTTCATCTGCTGTTCTGCCTGTTCTGCAACCCACTCTGTCTCTGGTGAATCCTCTCACTGCCCTGCACCTCTGGCCTGTGCCCCAGTTCTGTGTGCACAAATAAATAAATCTTTTTTAAAAATCGTGTTAGCAGATAAATGGATCCCGCCATTTGAGAATACTTTGGTCTTCCCTGAGATGTGCAGACTCCTGCAACTTTTCTCAGTTCTCTTGGGAACCTGCAGGGAGGGTCTTTCTGAAGCAGGAGAGAGGTGAGATGCAAAAGAGGAAGCATGTGGGCCTGCAGACAGAGGTCTGCTGAGTGCCATGGCCAGAGCGCAGGGCAGCTGGACGGGATGGAGGTGGTGCAGGCTGGCTCGGGAGCGATGGTTGAGGGCCCACCTGCCCAGTGCCTGCAGTTCGCATCAAGGAGACTTTGGGGGATTGAGCTAGGAGTGTGGCATGGTTAGATGGGCTTTCAGGAAAGATCTCTTGGCCACTATCTGGGGTGTGTGGTCATTCTGGAGAGGGCTGGGGAGGAAGGCAGAGTGGAGAGGAAGCAGCTTGGGGGTAAATCGGAGTTAGAATTAAGAGAAACTGGAGACTGGCCCGAGCTAGAGGCAGGAGCAAAGTGAGAAGGAACAGGACTGTGGGTCTCCCAGTGCTGAACTGTGAATGGTTCTTACTCTAAGTGCTGTCCCGGGGCCTGACTTGACTGCCCTCTCTCCATCACCCAACCTTCAGCAGCATCCTCCAAGCAGCCAGGAAACATGTGGGTCTTTGCCCTTTCCCAGCTACCCAGTGGTGGGCCAGGGGCTCGCTGAAGCCAGCTCTTTGGCCAGCTCTGTTTGTCCTGAGCACAGCTCCTCTCACCCTCCATACATCCCAGAGGCATTGAGATACCTTTGCCAAACACTTAACACAGGTTGCCAGGTAATACAGAACAGTCCCCAGAGAGTTGCCTGAAAGTGTGTCGAGGACCTGCCTGCTAAAAGTGAAATCCAAGGCAACATCCCTCTCAGGGGAAATGGAATCAGCCAGCTCTGGGCACTGCCTGGTTTCCATGGAAATCTGTATGCCCTGCAGGCTTGACAATTAGAGGCATCAGGGGCTGAGAGACTGTAGGAAGAGGTTCTATTCATGTCTCTGATGGCTGCTGCCACTTTGGAGGTCTAAAACCAAACGGAAGAGGGCAGCCCTGGGCTTCTCCTTGGTTCATCACGAGTTTCCCTCCTTCACTGAAAGGTCTCCAATGGGTCAGCTCTGTGCTAGAAGCTGCATAACAGCAAAGCAGATCAGTCTTCACAGCTTAGGAGACAGGTGGGAATATTCTGTTTCAGAGATGGAGACAGAGATGGAGGAAGTGTATTCATGCATTCAATAAACACTTAAGTACCTACAGCCTGCCAGATGGACAGACAGGAGCCATGAACTCTCAGAGTGTGGTCTAGGGGATTCCTTCACACAGGTAGTTAAGTGGCAGGACTGCAGATCAGACTCACTTCTAGTCCTAGAGAGTTGACATGCTGGGTTTTCTCCCTTTGCAGGATAAAGATTGAAGAAGAATATGCAAAGAACTTAGCTAAGCTTTCTCAGAACTCCTTGGCTGCACAGGAAGAAGGGTGAGTGGCGAGGGCAGTGATGGGGCTGGGGAGGAGGGGGAGCACTCACTGCCAACTGCATGGGCCCGTGTGGATGGGGAAGTCTCCTCACGCCCGGTGCAAGATGGGCACTTCTAGCTCAGGGTGAGCACCCACACTCACGGTCAGCACCACATTGTCTTCTCTTTAATGGCCAGGGAACCCCTGCCACATGTGTGTCAAAGCCTGCTCTGCCCTGACCCCTGGTAGCTGGACACTAGCCCCTAGATACTCTCCAGAGGAAAGCGAACAAGCTCTCTGGTGTCTTACAAGGACATGAATTGGATCATGAATTTGACCTTGCTTAACCTTAATTTCTTAATTAATTTCTTAGACGTCCCATCTCCAAATAACAGCTACAGGTGGAGAGCAGGGCAGGAGGAAGGCTTCAGCAACGAACTGGGGGAGAACACAAACGTTCAGTCCTTATTAATAGGGTGATAAAAATTTTGAAAACAGAGGTAGTGGTTGCTCAACATGGCAAGGGGATTACACACTGCTGAATCGTTCTCTTAAAATGGCTGTTTCTGTTATGTGAATTTTATCTCAAAACAAAAACTGACGAAGACCCTCAGGAGGCTGGAGTTGAAAGGCCCTCCCCCTAGGCAGCCTCACCCAGTGCAGTCTCGGAAGCCCTCGTGTGAGGGGAAGTGCGCCCCCAGGAAGGAAGCCGCTCTGCCCAGGACGCTCGTGGCTGCCAGAAGAGCTGGGATGTGAAACAAGTCCGAGGCTGCCTGCATGGCTTGGAACCCTCCAGGGGACCTGCTCTGCCAACCAAATGTGGCTTTGATTAGGGCCTCTGCATCGACTTGCTTGGCAGCCGTGAGGCCGCCTCCTACTGGTTCTTGCTGGCCACACTTGGTGACCCAGCGGTGTCAGACTCTTCCCTGGACACAAGTGAGGTTTGCTCGGCCCCCTTCTGCTCCATGTACTGGGCCTGAATGGGGGCCGAAAGGGGGTCCTAGGAGGGAGTCTCCCTTATGGCCTGAGAAGGAGGCTTTCTTAAGTATCCCCAAGCCTGCAAGCGCTGTGCTGCTCTGGAGTCTTCCTGCTCCCACCTCCTCGGCCTGGGCTGCTGCCAAGGACACTCTGTGCTGCCAGTACACACAGCACATGCGCCAGCTCCACGAGTCAGGCCTGCCCCACAGGCTGCACACACATGCACCTCCAAACCCGGGACCGCCCCACACATGTGCACTTGCAGCCTGGGCGTGAACACACACCTCCTTGCCACGGCGTGGACACGCTCACCCCGTGCACACAGTCCTTGCAGCAGGCGCCGGCCGTGGAACGTGCAGCTATGCGGTTTTGCATTTTTACACACTCTTTTGTACATAAACACTGTCCACCTGGAACCTTTCAAACTGCAGCACCAGCGTCCAGAAAACTGGGCCGGGCTCGGAGGCCCCAGTGCCTATGGGGTGACTTGAGCTGCTTTTGCATCTGCAGCGTTGTGTCCAAATTAGATTCCGCAGGACATGTGCGCACTGGTAAATAAACAGAATTAGGTTATTTATTCTGCCTCCAGTTTTTCTCTCCTGTGTGGGAAGGAAATGGGATTTGGGGTCTTTCCTGGTTGATAATTATGACAGTAACACAAGCTTTGATTTGGCATGCCTCGGAGTGATATTGGAACTGAGATAATAGCTCAGGGTTTGTTTTTTTTTTTTTTCTATTAACCTCTTATCAAATGAAAAATATCTCTCTTCAGAAGAGAGAAAGTCTAAATTGCTTTTTCAAAATTGTGAAGTGGCTGCAAGCAGCCTGGAATATTAGGTAGGAGTGGAGGGTACCTGGGGGAGGAGCAGGCCCCCTGCAGGTGTCGGGTGACAGCCTTCCACCTGTGGATGCCCAGGTGGAGCGAGGACATTGTCCAAGCGGGAAACTGCCTCTCCTCTCCTCCCTGTAGCCTCAGGTGACATTCCCCGGCCACTGTAACTGTCCACTTACTGACCACAGACTCTGCTGACAGTGCATTTGCCAACTCTGGGCACCACTGAAGGCCTTATTGGTTCCCCATGTACATAGCTCAGCCGCAGGGACTGACAGGGCCTTTGATCAGGCTCCCTCTCCTCGGCTTCTGTAAGCTTTGTATAGTGTTGGCTTTCATCTTGGGTCTGGATCCCCCTGGAAATAATCTCTAGATATAGCTTGAAGTCAAGGGTCATGGTTCCTTTCTCCTCTGTGGATATTGTTGTCTCTGCACCATTTGTTTAAAAGACTGTCGGTCCCCCATTGAGATAATCTGGTGTCGTTGCTGCACATCTGCCAGACTTATCAATGCCAGTCTGTTACTGGCCCAGGCATCTCTCGCATTTTCTATATGAAATGTTTTACCCCCCACCTACCTCCCACCTCTGGCCATCTCCCCCCCACAGAGGGTGCAGAGTGGCCCCCCACAGCTTCCAGGAGCTCAGGCCCTTGAGGCCAGGACAGATATCAACAGCTTAGATTGCCTGTTTTTCATTCCATCTCTTCTCTGGTGGGCTCCCAGCTAGAATCATCCCAAGGGAGTTCTCTTTGCTGCCTAACTCCTAGATAAAAATCAGTCAGTCATTTCCCATAAACACCCACCTTGGACTAAGCCAGCACCACAGCCAGACAGGCCTGGACTGTGATCAAAGGGTTCTGTTCTGCTGGGTAATTCTTAGCTACTGGCTTCTCTGTTCAAAATCCAGAAGCCTCGCAGCATGCTGTCTTTTAATCAGCTTTTGCCACTCGAGTTTAATGAATTCTCTGGAGGAAGTGGCTTTTTGATGAAATTAAGTCAACTGAGCATTCAGCCTGTATTTACTGACTGTGTTGGAGAGGTCTCAAGCAAGGAAGCAGGGTTTCATTTGGAAGGTCAGTGAGGTTAAAAGAGTTCTAATAATAGATATTGTCACAGGAGGATGGGGGGGTGGCTAGGGGTGGGGAGACTCCAGTTGAAAATCTTGGGAACTTCAAGATAGCTTCTATTTTAACCATCTTATAGAGCTTAGAGTGTTCCAATAAGTTGTAGCAGTGTTAGGGCTCATAGTCCCGAATTAGCACAAGTGGAGAGGGGTCTATGCTGTGAAGTCATCCCTAAGAGGTCCCCAGATCCAGATGGTGTTCCTCTGTCCCTCCTGGAGCTCAGGCTGCAGAAGGCTTAGCCTGCCAGTAAGCTGAGTGTGGACCTTCCGTTTGAGAAGGATTTCTCCTGGGAAAGCACTTACCTGCACTCTTGATTTGCTAGCAGGCATTTCAGCCCATCTCCCAGGGAGGCCAGGAGACCATCACGGGCCAGGCATCAAGGCCTTTGTTGATGTGTACCCCACCTTCTGCTCACATCTCCCCAGGTTCTCTGGGCTCCCCACTGGTCCCTGCTGAAGACCAGCTTCAGCTGAGGTAGTGGGGGTGTCCCGCAGGAAAGGATGGCATCGGCGAAAGAAAGAGAGAGAGAGAGAAAGAAAGAAAGATGAGGTGGAAAAATGAGGAAACGCAGACACCTGTTTAGGGTGAAAACATCTTCTGCCAATTGTCCCAACAGGTCTTTATTTATACATTACAAGCAAGCAGTGGGGTTACATCAGTGTGTGCATAAAGCAGAAAGCTTAACTATAATCACATTTTTCTTAAAGACAGCTCGGGGCTTTTTGATCACTTATTGAGACTGTGATATTCATTAGTCATTAATAAAAAGTACGATTGATATACAAGATGTTCCTGTAGTGACTAGTCATTAATAAACAAATATTCCTATGGTGATCGGTTCAACCGGTTCAAACAAAATATTCCTATGGTGATCAGTTATCAAACAAAATATTCCTATCATGATCAGTTAACAATATACAAAATGTTCCTATGATGAACAGTTAGTTATTATAACTTAAGCAATCAGTTTGTTAATATCTCATTGAACATACATCTTAAAGGTACAAGATCTAATGTTAAGGAACTAGGAGACAGAAAAACACCAACGCCGAGTGCACTGACATTTCCCTGCCCCTAAAGAAAAAAACCCTTTTTGATCTCAAAAAGCTTCTATTAATCACTATTCCTGTAATTGTTTTGTCAACTTAATCTCTATAGCTAATATAGGAATTAGGGAAAAGTTTCTTTCTTTATGGTCACTAATTATTATTCTATTAATCTTATCTAAAAAACCTTTCTCTGTGAAAAGAGGTTGGGGTGAAAGTTAAAGAGTAGGAAAACATTATTATTTATAACTCTATTAGTTAAAATGCAACTATATTGCTTAAAACTATAGATCTTTTGGGCTCTCCCTGGTGGCACAACAGGTTAAAGTACCGCATTATCAAGCTCTCTGAAACCACAGCAGCATGAGTTCAATCCCTGGCCAGTGCATGGCAGACCTCTCCTGACCTGCCCACTGCTGTCCTCAGCAGTGTACCTTGTCAGTCTGCCTGTTCTGCTCCCCACTCTGTCTCTGGTGAATCCTCTTACCCACATCTCTGGCCTGTACCCCAGTTCTGTATACATAAATAAATAACTCTTAAAAAAAAACTATAGATCTTTTATTGGGGACTGGGCAGGAAATTATTGCAGCCTTTGGTTCCCAGAATTCTTGGACCATAACATGTCTCTTGGTATTATAGGGCCTAGATTTGTGCCAGCGCCCTCAAGCAGAGGAACATTAATTATTTTACAGCATACCATGCCATTCTGTGGACAATGCTATTGTTATTAAACCAGTCAATCCAATCAAGTAATTTTTGATTCCATATTAAATGTATATTTGGACTTCTTGGGAACAGCCAAAGACAAACCATAGGTCTTGGAAACGGCCATAAACAAATGAAAAGAATCCAGCAGGAACCAGCTGTGGAATATCCTGACTTTTCAGGATTTTTTCCCCCACGTCAGGATCTTGTCATACAATGTGGGTAGCGTGGCTCTTGCCAGGTCCCCCAATCACTCAACTATCTGCAACTGTCCAGCTCCAAAGAGCCTCCCCTGGGTTTCGGTGTCTCCCCTGGCCCATGCTGTTTGTTTTGTGTCTCATCTCAGTTTAGTCACAGGTGTACTGCGTATCCCCAAGACTCGAGCTCAAGACCCACCATCCCACCTCAGGAAGGACTGTGATCTCCAACCTGGGGTCAGTGCAGCTCTCTCTCTCCTTGGAACTGACGGTCTCCTTCATGTTGCAGCTCGCTGGGAGAAGCGTGGGCCCAGGTGAAGAAGAGCCTGGCAGATGAGGCAGAAGTTCACCTCAAGTTCTCTGCCAAGGTAACCCCTCTGTGTAGCTCCTTTGCAGTGATCTTACACAGTGGTGAGCGGCTACACATTGAGCAACTGTCTCCCCAGGTTGCCATTTTCTGTGGTGTAAATTTTAATAGTTGGGAAAAGAAACACATCATTCAGTAATGTTCCCACATTACTTATGTAGTCACATCAGTAACTACAAGTATCCGTTCAAGAATAGTAAAGTGTAGTTAGAAAATGTGGAATCTGTATTACCTTTGCTGTCAATAGAATTTATTCATTTCAAGTTTAATTTTTAAGACTGGCTGTCTCTTAATAGCCAGTTCACAAAAGTCCTATAACTTTAGCATTCAGCTGTGGTGAGTCAGTGGGGCAGCCGCAGCACACCTCTGTGAGGTGTAAGTGATGCCCATCACTTCCGCAGGTGAACCCTGAGTGACGAAACCCCACACTCACATTGTTGGGCTTCCAAAGTAGCTTATTGGCATTTTCCACGTCTTCTTGGTGTGGTGTCAGGAGCAACTAGAATGTGCCAAAGAGAGAACATTTTTGTTTTTTATTTTTGTTGTTACAAAATTTCACAACAGGTAACTGAGTCTTCCCTTTGGTTATAAAGATTCCAGCCCCAGGCCCTTCTTAAGGACAGAGATGTTTCTGTGTCCATCAGTCTGTCCCCAGTACCCAGGGTGGTGTCTAGTGTGTAATAGATGCTCAATAACTGTTTTTGGAAATAATGAGTGAATGGAGCTCTCTGACTAGCTCCTTCCTTCATTTTCTGATTTCTCCATATTGCTTTCTTCTCCACTTCTGGCGCCTATCTCCAAATTCCTTCTCAGGGAGGCTCTCAACCATTTTTCAGGGGAGAAAGAAACCAAGTGTCAAAGTGAAATAATTCACAAAATGTGTTATGATGGTGGGCAACTCACTAGCATGCTTGCCTTCTAAGGGAAGAAACACTCTTGAGAGTGTCTCCATTCCTAGTAAGCTTTGTTTCCTGGACCCCTGGTCTTCTTACTGTCCTGCTGTCCACAGTCAGATAGCAGTCTGAGGGAACACTGGACATGGTCCTTAACTCTCTGAGGCCCCATTTTTCAGTTGGGCATTAGACTGCCTCTTTTACTACTTAACAGTAGCATCCCCCAAAGTTGACTGCTCCTTCCCAGAGTTTCTGCATTGAACATCCTGGGTCCCCTAGCTTTCCCATAACAACTGACATTCTGGGCTTCAGGGCCCCCATGGGACTGCCCTGTAGGTGGACAGGTGTCTAGCTTTGAAATCAGGTCTCCCCACCCCACCAGGTGGGGAATGCACCTGCTGCACACACAGAGTGAATGTTCAAATGACTGCGGTTCAGAGAGGAGTTTTATAAAGAACTGGGGAGGGAGGGAGAGGAAGGAAGAGGAAGAGACAGTGTTTTACCAGCTCTCTGCTTCTAAAGGATGTTAATGCCCCAAGAATGAGTTGCTACCCAGATGTGAGAATTCCTGAGCTAGCAATGGTACACTAACCTCATCCCCCAAATACTTCATGAGACAGTTGCCAGTCAAGCACTGGGAGAGAAGCAGCTCCATAAACTGGTCCCTTTTCTGCCTTGCATATAAAACAGCATGTTCTTTTAAGCTGTGGATGTGGGTAGTGTTCTCATTAGGCCTCCATCCTCTCATCTAGCCCCTGCCACTCTGTTCTCTGTGTGGGGAGAACCTCCATTGACTGGTGCCATGAATGGGGACTGCTGTTCTGAAAGGTCCTCTGCTGGACCCCCTGGGCCCCAGTGGCATTTACTACCTGTCAGCACAACCTGTGGCTCTTGGTGGCTTATGGAGCACTCAGGTGACAAAAGCCACTCTGAGGCACAGCATTCCCCTGCTTCCTTTTATGCCAACGCTCGAACAAACACTGACCACCCAATCTGAAGGGGGTTCCCACACCGGCCAAGTCTCTTGACTCCAGCTGGGTGTCCTACACTTTAACTCAGTTCTGATTCTGTTCACCTGGTGATACATCAGCTTTTGCAGGTGAAGGGCTCAGTCCGTAACAAGTGCACACGGTTTCTTCCCAGGTACCCACACTTCTGTTTGGCTTAACTGCAAATGGGAGGTGTTCATGACACCCTCCTCAGGTTTCATAATTTGCTAGAGAGGCTCACAGAACTCAGGGAAACAGTGAGTTGCCACTTTATACAGATGAACTGCCAGATGAAGAGGTATATAGCGCAAAGTCCAGAAGGATCTCAAGCATGAGAACTTCTGTCTCCATGGAATCGTCCCTCACCTTCCAAGCATGTGAGTGTGCTTGCTGTGCTGGAGCTGTCTGAAGCCTCAGAGTTGGTAGCTTTTTATGGCGGCTTCATCTCCTCAGCCTGATCTACGGTTCACTCAAACTCCCAGTCCTTTCCCAGGAGGATGGGGGTGGGGCTGACAGTTCAAGCTTCTTACCATGGCTTGGTCTTTCTGGTGACAGCCCCCATCCTGAGGCTGTCCAGCAGCCCACTAGCACTGAAGCCACTCCTCTCACCCCTGGGATGCCAAAGGGTTTGGGAGCTCTGTGTCAGGAACTGGGGTCAAAGGCCAAATACTAGAAGTACCTTTACCACTTAAGAAATCACAAAGGTTTCAGGAGCTCTGCTGGAAGCTCAGGATGAAGACCACAAGGAGCATTTGCAGTGAAGCCAGTCTCACGTGCACTCATGTTTTAGGTGGGTGTGTGCAGAATATATCATCTCCCTTGATTTTACCAACCATCATGCAAGACAGCGTCACCATTTCTCACATGAGAAGGGCCAAAGAGGCTAAATCACAGCCCAGCGGTCAGTCTGCCTGCTGGGCTCAGCTACTAAGGAAGCAAGGAGAGGGCTGAGGGCAGGGGACGTGACCCCCTAGGCCTTTCCTCCAGGCTGACCACAGCATTTAAATTACGCAACTCTGCCCGCTCTTGGTGTAGGCTGGTGTCCAAGTGCCCAGGATGTTTCAGTCAGATGTGGATGGCACGAACGGCCACCATTCAGTTGACAGGAGGCGTATGAAGAACACTTCCCCAAAATAGATTTCTGGGAGAGAACCTTTGCTATTTTCCGCCTGTCAGTCAGTGGCGGTGGCCTCAGGCAATCCCAGTGGCAGCTCAGGAGTTTGTATGGCAATCCCCTGCAAAGAAAGGGGCTTCAAGAACCTGTTTGTCTGCCACAGATAGTACAGCCTCATAGGCATGAAACTAATTTAAATGTGTGCTCCTTGTTCCACTCTGCAGTTCTGCTCTGAGTGCTCAGGGAGGGGAGAAGAGCTCTCGGAGGAATGCAGCTCTGTGACAGCAGTCTTTCAGGCTCTGCTAGTGTGTTAGCCAAGCCATTGTTAATAGCAGCCGATGGGTGAAGAAATAAGGCTGTATTATACAGAGGAATTTGTACCTGGCTCTAACTGCAGAAGGGAGAATAGAACATTCCTTCTGATGGGGGAAAATCTAATCATGCAATGGAGGCCGCTCAGTTGCAGTCAAGTCTGCAGGTTTGGGGGTGGGGGGAACTGTCACAAACAAGAGACAAGAGTGGTGTCATTGGGCTAGTCCCTTAGCCTCTCTGGGTATCCACGTTTGCATGTGGGCCAGAGCACATGATTTGAAGCTTATTTGATTGTGACCCTCGGGGGTGCCTTTCACTGACCACCCAGAACACTCAGTATCCACACCCAGGTATCCACCTGCAGGTGCTCACACAAATAACCTGATGCAGGAAACAGTGCTTATCCTTCTACCTAAAATGCACTCCGGTGTTTGCTGTTAGACTTGGGTCTGCTCTCATCAGAAAGCTGGGCCTGACCCACACATTGATTTCACAACACACCATTTAAAAAACGCTGGACCAGACTTTCTCTGAGAGTCCTTTCAACTTGGGATTGCTCTTATTCTCTTCTGATGTATGAGCAGAAAGGAGGAGGCTACGGAAGCAGGAGTCCCAAACAGACGCACTGAGCAGCTCCATCCAAAGCAGCCAACTCAGAGTCCGCAGGATTCGGCTTCCAGAAAGTGCTTCTGCCTCTGGTTAAACAAAGATGCTTGGAAGTTAAGAATGAGGATGAGCTACTCAGCCAACTTTTTAGAGAACAATTTGCATTTTATGAGTACTTATAATGTAGTGGGAGAATCCTTGGGTCTTGACTGTCCCCTGACAGCTGACAGCATTGTTTCCAGATAGTTTGTGGAATTTGGGGGAAAACATTTTGGTGTGTTGGCAGGTTTTTGGACCCTTCCCCAGACCACAGAACCTTGGGCCCAAGAATCCTGAATGCTGAGAAGCCCCTCTGGGTCACTCTTGGGCACATTTAAAGTCTGGGAATGAGCTTGCTTTCTTGGCCATCAGAAAGAGAACCCACAGTCAGTGATGCAACGGGCTGAGTTAACCCTGCTGGAAGCCCAGTTAGGGGCAGGCTCCCACCGCATTTCAGTGAGGTAGCTTTTTCCGTGGAATGGGGCTTGTGTCCTCTTGGCAACTGTCAACTTTATAGCGTCTTACAAACAGCCACCAGATGGGGCTATTTTCTTATACGAGGAAATTTCCAAGCGCTCAAAAAATAACAGACATTTACAGTTAACCTGGATAGCATTCTTGGTTAGTCTCGAGGTCATCTAAGTTGCTAACTTGCCATCAGGGCACTGGACACTCATCATTGTCCTGGTGCAGAAGAACACTCATTCTGCACCAACTCCTCCCAGACACTGTGTGGACCCAGCAGTGGCCAAATCAGCATGGCCCTGCCCTCCTGGGGCTCAGTCCTGTGTAATACCTTGGGTAGAATTAACTTCAAGGTCTCCAGAGGAAAAGATAAGAGCCTGGTGAGAGGGGAAAGGAGAGAAAGCACAGAACCCCAGAATTGAGTGGGCAAGGAAGTTCACCTGTGCTTCCCAACATACTTCTGGGACAGGTGGTGGTCCAGGGGCTCAGAACACCAGCAGAGTCAGGGGGCCATAGGATGAATGGGGGGGCTGAGGTGAGGGTCCTCAGAAGACTGAATCAGGGGGCCCTGCAAGGGGAGCTGGGTCAGCTCTAAGAAGCTGAGTTATCGGGGCTCAAGGCTGCTTGGCAGCCTGACCACAGCAGTCCACATCTATCTGCTTCCTTACCAACGTCTCATGTTGACACCTGAAACAAAAGTCTTAAGTAAAATTCTCCCTCAAAAGGGAATGGTACTGAAGGAAGGAATAAAAGACAAAGAAGAGGCTTGAGACCCGACGTGGCCTAGCCCTCCAGGGCAGCCGCCTACTTGTCTGGTCCTCAGAGCACAGGTCGCCATCTAAAGGGCCGAAGTGGCCTTTCTATGCCAACCAGTGTGCTGAGAAAGCCCTCCGTGGCCTGGGGTGGTTCCCACCGTAGGACCGTGCCCAGGTCACCTGTGTAGTCCGGACACCTGGCCGTAGCAGGTGGTCAGTAAACAAACTGGCCTGAGTTCATCTAATGAGTTGCAGCCACAGTCACTGTGCTGGGCGCTGCTGGCACAGAAACAGTGGCTTAGCTTTACCCCTGTAGCCTTCCCAGTGGGCAATCACAGGAGGCAACAGGGGCCTTGAAAAGCTCCAGAGGCCGACTCGTGTGCCCCAGCCCTGTGACCACCGGGGCCCGCCCAGCTAGGACGGCTGCCCTCAGCGCCATCAGATGTGTGACCTCTTGCTCTCACCGTCTTGTCAGATGGGCCAAGTCCCTGCCCCAGACCCATGCTCCCAGAGGCTGCAGGCATTGCCCCTCTCTCCTCCATTTACTTGAAGCTGGTGCTTTGAGGTCCTGAGTAGATCTGCCCCCCTTATTCTCCTCAACAGCTGCACAGCGAAGTTGAGAAACCCCTCATGAACTTCCGGGAGAACTTCAAGAAAGACCTGAAAAAGTGTGACCACCACATCGCTGACCTCCGCAAGCAGCTCGCCAGCCGCTATGCCTCAGTGGAGAAGGTGAGGGCCCAGGAGGCGAGGGTGGGGGAGGGGCTGGGGACCTGCTGGAAGGTGGTGGACACCAGCAGGGGCATCAGGGCATAGGCAGAGGCCTTTGTCCTGTCCCCCTGTGGTAGGCTCGGGGTAGACCGGGGGTTATACAAACCTCAAGTCCACGCCCAAGAACTTTCTGCCCCTGCCAGAGGCAGGTAAGAGCTGCTCCCCCTGGCACTGGGCCCACTGCCCAGAGGGCCAAGAGAAGCAGGCGAAGCTGCACCTGCACTGGGAATTATTGTGGAGTTAACCGGACACAGAAGGTGGGGTACACCCTTGAATGCATTGGAGAGTGCTGGCCCCTCACACAACCCCTTTGTCTGGGTCTTGCTTAGCATTTCCTCCTGACAAAATCACCCCCTCCCAGAGGCCAAAGCCATCTGACCAGTGGGTAGCTCTCGACAGCCAGATCCGAAGGAGAGAGATGTCTCCTTCAGTGCCTTTGGAGAGGCAGCAGGAGATGTGCATGGCTGTAGGCACCTTAGACCCTCCAAAGTGCCTTGGAGCTATGGAGGGTCGAAACCTTAATAAGGAAAGCAGGGCTGGCCTGCCCAGAGCAGTAATTGTGCTGTTGCCATTTGTTGAACACGGTGACAGGTGACACAGATGACCTCTGTGGTCCCTTCCACAGAACTGGGTCTCCAGTACAAGTGCCTACTCCCACGAACTGGGAGCCCGCCCCAAGTCAAGCCAAGATGCAGTGGGCAGCGACAGGGATGCATGGTCACTGCTGGCTGGACAATGCTGCTCCAGCAGCTCAGCCTCTAGAGCCATTGTGGCATCACCTGTGAAAGCAGGCGAGGGAAAGAAAGGTCTCTTAGCTGGACAAGGGGGTGCAGCCACGTGACCCGTAGGCCTTCCTGGTTCTGAGCTCTGTGAACAGCTCCCCCCACATCCTTGAACCCCAGGCCCGGAAAGCCCTCACGGAGCGTCAGAGAGACCTGGAGATGAAGACCCAGCAGCTGGAGATCAAGCTGAGCAACAAGACAGAAGAGGACATCAAGAAGGCGCGGAGGAAGTCCACGCAGGCTGGTGAGTGCCGGCGGAGGCCCACCTGCTTCTCAAGTCCTCACTGTCCACGGAAGCACAGAAGGGAGAGGGCTGGAAGGTGGGGTGCTGGGAGGCCCACCCCATAGGACAAGACTGGGGGGCAGGCCAGATTGCCTCCAGGTCACGATGGACACTGGGTTCTTTACAAATCCCTGACAAGGACTCTTTCTTGCCCAAGCCCTAGACATCCAAAGTGGACAGTCTCTTTCATGAACCTGGAACTTGGGGTCCTGTCCCCATGTGGAACCCACGGGGGACAGCAAACCCCAACTGCCCACCACACTGTACCACCTCCCCAGGTTAACCCTGGTGATGGGCTCCTGCCCCCTACAGGGGCCGGCATTTCATTGCATGAGATAACCAGATGCAAATGTTCTGACACTCCCCCAGTGAGTTGGTGTCTGCTCCCACCTAGTGGTGAAAGTTAGCTCCCACAAAAGGAAGGCGGAGAGAGGCCAGTTAGAACCGCAAAACTTACTATTATTTCTTTTAACGGCCGCATGCAAAGACAGTGCATGTTGCAGGGGGTGCTGTCGGTTAGCGTGTGCTCTGGTAACCGCTAGGTCTCTCTCATCCCAACCTTTAGTGAACCTGGTACAATTAACTCACGGCCATATGAAGCAGTCACCATGTGGACATTTGAAAATACAAAGATATAAAAATAAGTCTACAACAAAGTGATGTAATAGTAACGTAGCACTTGATATAAATAGCATACAATGCTCAGCAATAAGTGACTAGATCCAGAAATAGAAGGCGTAATGACTTATTAATATTGGGAAGGGAAGCCCAGGGTGAAGAAATTAATTTAGCTATAAAATTATTTTAAAACTCAAATTATATTGAAAACTAATTATCATTACTTGGCAACAATGATTTAGCACAGAAGAATATAAATCTCGTTTTCCAGATAGAATCACCATCAACATTTCCTAGTGTTTTAATTTAATGTTTTTTAATATTTACAGATTTAAATTTGATCATATGTTCTAGGTTTTGTATTTAAATTTCTTTATATACTCCAGGTTTTGAACTTGTATTTTAATTATTTTAGAGATTGTTCCATTCCATTTAGTTGCCTGTATATTTGTATATATAGACTTTTCAATGGCTGAAAGTCATCTGAAATAGATGATTGTATCCAAATTTATTTCCTCAGTCTTCTCCGTGACTGTTGTGGGACTTTTAGACGGTATCAGTGTTTGTCAGTGTGAACAGTGCTGTGTTATGTAAATGCGTCTGTGTGTCTGTCACAGTAAATCTGCTTAGAGAGAGTATCTGGCTGTGGAGCTTCTAGTTCACAGGATCGTATCCATTTTGAGAGATGTTTTCAATTTGTTCTCCAGAGATGAGGACCCGAATAGTCCCCCTGAAAGCCGCTTCCCTAGATCTTGTCAACACCGTGTGTTATCAAATTCTGACCTCATAGCCATCTGCTGAAAAATCATATTTACATTTAATTTAATTTACAATTTCTATTTTTTTGAGTGAAGTTGAGCATTTCTAAGAGACTTAGAAACCACCTGTGATGTTTTTCTGTAACTTGATTAACTTTCCAATTTCTTGTTAATTAGCTGATCTCAATGGTTGGTTGATAGGAATTGTTTAAATGCTAGGAAAATTATCCTTTTATCATTTCAATTGCAAAAGTTTTCCTAGGTCATTATTTTTCAATTTTATCTCTTAGTTTTCTTTTATTGAGGGTGGGGTTTACTTGTTTGTTTTAAGTAAGTTTCCTCTTACAATTTCTAGGTTTTGTGACTCACCAAGGTCTTCCTTTATTCAAGAATTTTATTACTTGTCTCGCTTTGTGAGGCTTTGGGTGTTTCTTTGAAAGAAAAACATTTGGCCCAGCAGACTTCATTTTGCTCACTCCACTTTTCTCACCATATATTCCAGAAGTTCTCATTCAAGTATTTTCATTTCTGTCAGTCTTGATATTTTGTTTTTTGTGTCGAGTTCATCTGAGTCAATTTTTTTTTTAATCTTCACTTTGTTGTTTTCTGGTCATGCTCTGTGTTCTGGTTTTCTTGTATTGTCGTCAGGCGACAGTCTCATTCTTACAGCCCGCAATTTCTTTGTAGTGAAAGCGATCAGTCCTGCGGCTAAAAATATACTCCCGTTGTTGAGCCCTCCCTGTGTGCCAGCCACCAGTCAATGTCAGACCATTCTCCCTTTTCATCCTCCTATTTTCACATGTCTACATATGGGGGAACTGATGGCACACGGGGTGGGCCGTCCCCCAGACAGGCAGTTCTGGTGCATGGGGCCCCAGGAGTCCTTCTCTCGTATACCAGCCGTGCTTGTTAGCATGCTGGACAGCCTGTACCCCAGGAAATCCCACCTTCCTTTCATGCTGCACCCTTTCCTCCCCTTCCATCATATTCCCTAAGGCTATGGAAAGGGAGGCCACGTGGACCCTTGGGGGCTTGACCTCATTCATAGTCACCACAGTTGCTGCCTCCATGCCTCTGCCCTGACCGGCATCTGCTGCAGCATGTATCTGCCTCCACTCAGCCCCATCCTAACCCTGGAAGGTGCCATTGGTATCCCCACTAGAAGAAATGGGGGCCCATGCAGGTCTATCAGTATCTGCTACCACACAGTAAAGTCAAACATGACAGCCTTATTCTGCTTCCAGAATCTCTGGTTCTGGCTCTGGTTCAATGCCAGTCATTCTGCCCAATGTCAGACTTTTGGAGTGTAGAGAGAAGACGCAACCTCCTCCACCTGCCCTACTCCCTGACACTCTAAGTTCCCTAAGGATGTTCCCCAAATCGGTATCGACAGCACAGCTCAGGGAGTTTTCCTAGTGGACTCTAGGGAGCAAGCTCACCCCACCCTCAGACGCAGGTGGGATGTGTTTGCAGCACAACATCCACTTTCCTACCTCTAGTGAGTCCTGCTCGCAACCAGAGCCCAGTCACTGATGTTGGACCAAGAACCAAAGGACCGAACCCCTTGATTTGCTTTGCTCCCTGGAGGCTCACCCCGCAGCCTGGGGCAGGGCTGGTCGGAAGGCGCCAGGAGAGGGCCTGACCAGCCCTGGATTGTGTGGCCTCCCTCTCCCACTGAGCTTTCATTTCGGAACACACCCACCCGCGAGGGCGAGGCCATTATAAGAGTGGCTTTGAGTCCCCTCGACTGCTCGTTCTAAAGAGCAAATCAGCTGGTCTGGGCTGGCTCATGAGCAGAGACAATGGCGCCTTCCTCCCTGGGGACCCTGAAGTGACCTGAAAGCTGCAGTCCAGGAAGCAGTGCGCTCAGCCGATACTTCTCCCCCTGGGTGTGCCGGGCTCACCTGGGGATCTGTGAAAATGCAGTTTCTGACTCGCTGGGTCTTGGTGCATCCAGAACTCTGCCTTTCTGGCGGGCTCCCTGGACGCAGCCCATTTGGGGTCTGTGTTCTGTGTGCTGGGTCCTGGAGTGCTGGGACCTAATACTGTTTGCAGTGACTTTACAGTTGCTCTTTCTAACTACAAAAGCTTTCAAATGATATGCTGGCCATCAAGATGGGTTAGTTACATTTGTTTCAGGTGTCCTTCTTGTGAAATGACTTGCTCTAGAAAGAGCTCGTTCCTTTGCCACCCATCTCTCCTTTGCCCAGCACAGTACCTATCCTGGAACTAGTGTGTAGCCTTCTGGCATGTGTTTTTATACCATCAATGCACAGGAGTGATCTATAAGTCATCAGATAAATTATTTTGTGTTTTAGCATAACACCTTGCTGTGTGCATGTAGACACACACACACAAAACACATTCGAGATTTGCAGACTTCTCCTTGAAACATAACTAGCCCCAGGTTACTTGTGGCATTTAATTTCACCAAGCAAGACTCTCCAAAATTAAAGAAAACTGCTGAGACGAACTTTCCTCAGGTTCACAATATGGGTAGGGATCCAGGAATGTCTCCCCCACCTCCTTCCTCTCTTGATCGATCTCTCTCTCTGAAATCCTTCTTGAAGGCTAAGTGATTGGGATGTACATTGAGATAGACATTCTGAAAATAGTCTCGTGGTTGCCCCCTTCCTTTGTTCTGATGGCCAGTGGTCTCCAGGGTCCCAGGGAAGGGCAGGCACAGTTGTGGGCCTGGGCAGGAGAGGAACACCTTGATGAGAACAGGATGGAGTTAGACTGTGGCTGGTGGCCTTTTGCAGGAGATGACCTCATGCGCTGTGTGGATCTCTACAACCAAGCCCAGTCCAAGTGGTTTGAGGAGATGGTGACCACCACACTGGTGAGTGAACATACCTGTGAAGCACGTCAGGACCAGGGCGGTGTGCAAGAGGCCCTGGGAGGAGGTTGGCGGACCATGACGCCTGGAGGCGACCACAGCAGACCATTCGATCTGCTCTGGCGTTGGGGATTCAGATCCTGCCTTCTAGCACTTCTAGCTGTGTGAATATAGGCGAGAACTGGGGCTAGCTATATTCTTCTTGACAGGTTCTTATCTCACCATCCCTATCCAGCCAGCATGGGGCTGACCTCCATCTCCCTGGTTTCAACCCACCGGAGCGATTAGAGGCCTCTGCCAGGATGGTGACCTACATTTCCTCCTGGCTAATCTCCTCATTAAACCCCCTGGTTTAACACTCTCCGCTATTAATCACCTGAGCAGTGACCTAATTATACACGGAATAGCAGGCTGGTTCCCTAAATTTCTAAGGTATGGAACCATGTAGAAACCGAAGGACAAGCCCTTTCCACTCCTCCTTTTGACAGTGAAAGCCTCACCTGGACACTGCCTCTTAGCACGAGGGGTGGACCGAGGGCAGGAGGCTCTTTGGCGAAGGAGAAAAACCCAAGAGCCTGAGGCATAGGGACACCCAAAGGAGCCCCATTTCTCTAACCCTCGGGACCTGGGGCTTGGGCTGTACTGTGCTCATGGTCGAGGGCACAAGCAGGTCCTGGCTCAAATCCTACTGCTCTTTGGACAAGCCATTTTACTTTCTGGGTAGTAATTCCTGGCTTGAAAAATGCAGACGAAAATGGGCCCTCTCTCTTAAAATGATTGTGAGGACAGTGCGGCAATGCAGCAGAACCCTTAGGGCTTACTGTGGTCAGCTGGTGGTTCGGAGAGAGTAACTGCTGTCTTACACTTTCACTTTCATCCCAGATGCAGGCTTTCTTTGTCATACCCCAGAGGGTGAGACAGGATGGGAAGAAGCAGGGGTGGCTTGTGTTTTGTGCATTGGGCAGCCTGGGTTCTGGGTGCTGGGGAGGTCCCCACATTGAGGGACACACTCAGAGGTCTCTGGTCTCACCTCCTTGGCAGGAGCTGGAGCGGCTGGAGGTGGAGAGAGTGGAGATGATCCGACAGCACCTGTGCCAGTACACACAGCTCCGGCATGAGACAGACATGTTCAACCAAAGCGTGAGTCACCCACCCTCGGGCTCAGGTCATCAAGACCCAGGGCTAGGGGAGAGATGCTTGGCACTGTGTCATGGCAGGTCAAGTGGATTCTGTCCTGGAGGTGAGCTACCTCGTGGGTGTACTTGTCTGGATTAGCCTGGAGATCCACATGAACCCATACAAAGTACATGAAATAGACATGCATGTGGGTTGTTACCCCAAAGAGAAAGAAGTCCCTGCTGGTTAAAACACTGAAGTTGTAAGTATCTCCCCTGGCACATTAAAAAACATTTTCTAGAAATATTCAAAATATCTAAAACTACCATTGACCTGTTCTTGAGTGTTAAATGTGAGGAGAAAAGGAGAAAAAGGTCTATGACCTCATGCCTAAAGCAGGAGAGGAACAAGAGTTCCAGGACCCCCAATCTCACAGAGCTCAAATGGGCCTCCCCAGGGCCCCCCACAACCCTCTAGAGAAGCTGCCCTCATGGCCACATTGGAAAGCAGCGTGATTCAGAGGAGGTGTCCCTGGCTTGGCTGCCATCTTTGACGGTGTCCTTTCTTCTTTGTCCTTTGCAGACAGTCGAGCCTGTGGACCAACTGCTTCGAAAAGTGGACCCCGCCAAAGACAGGGAGCTGTGGGTCAGAGAGCACAAGACGGGCAACATCCGTCCCGTGGACATGGAGATCTAGCTGGGCACATGCAGCCCCGGGGGTCCTGCCGAGGAGAGGGGCCGGGGGGTGGGTCCCACAGAGAGACAGGGGTGGCTCCCGCTGTGGGGCCTGCCGCCAAGTGGCGCTGTCCTCTCCCTCGATTTCCTGTTCCACTGAGGAGTGGGGGGAGCAAGGGCTGCCACTGGGATTCCAGAAGGGCAGCTTGGATGGCCCCGCTGGGAAGCTCCCAGTGCTCCCACGCCAGAAGACCGATCCACAGCCCTGCCCTTGTCTCTGAGGTTGAAGCCCCCAACTCCTGTGCTGTGCTTGTTGCTCTGAAAACAAATAAGGCTGGAGCTTTGTGGTCCCTGCTGAGCATCGTGGGAGTTGCCTCCTCACCTGGAGCCAGCTGTGTTGCACATCTGTGCCCCTGGAGGCCCCAGGCCCTTTCTCCAGCTGGCCCTCTTCTCTCCAGAGCTTAGGAGGGCCAAGGGAAGGAGGCATCTGTCCCCAAAGTATTAGGATCAGAAACAGGATCAGAATCATGGATAGAAGTCACCATTCAGCCAAACAGCTCATGCCCACAACCCTTTGCAGCCCTCCATTTTTCCCTGTTGCATTCTGGGAGCCCACATCCTGTCTCTTCTCTGCCACTTTTCACCATCAGAGGTCTTGGGGAGAAGACTTGTGCCTGTCTTCCCAAACCAACCCCACCCAGAGAGCTCAGGATGGAACTACCTCATTCAGCAAATTAGCCCTGAGTCAGAACGTTGAGTTGTGTTTCCCTGGATCGAGCATCTTCTGTTGTCTCCGCTCTAGAAATCCCAGTCTGCCAGCTCTCTACTGCTTCCTCTCAGCCCCACCCCTTCCCAGGGGAGATCACAGTGGGGCTGGGCAGGTTCCCTGTGGGAAATGGGTTGGGCAAGTTGTCATCATCCCCCAGGCAGCTCCACTTGCTTGTCCGTGGTGGGGTCGGAGCCCCTGTCCTCGTGTGTCTCCCTCTCACTGACTGGCCTGTACAGGCCTCGCAGACTCTGGCTATATTAGTGTCCCACCTCCCTGCCTCGCAGCTCTTTCTGTATGGTCCAGAGCCCTGTACCAAGTGCCTGCTTGGTGCGGGTACCATTTTTCCCTTGTTCCGTCCCTACTTCCTGGAAAAACCTGTTCAGAGAATGACTTGAGATATTGTCAATGCTGCTGCTGGTCTTTTCTCCTCTCTTCTCCCCTTTTATGCCACAGCATATGTGTCTGCCATGTCAGTTTGGAAAATCAACATGAGTGGACCAGTGGGAGAAAAGGCCTTACTCGCAAGGGAGAGATTCTGTCCTTGACTCACACCTGAGGTTCCATCTTCCTTACTTATTGTTCCCTCTGACTACTTTGGATTAACAGGTCTCCCAGTGGGTGGGCTCTAGGGCATAAGTGACTTGTCTTCTCTTAGTCTTACATGCTAGTTGGGATGACATTAATCTTGAATCCTTTGGCAGTTCTCTCAGAGTCAGATTTCTCTTTTATAGTAGAAAGATGCAGAATATCCTAAAGAAAACCAACCATTGTCACTTTTTTTAATCCAACATCCAAAAAGGTTGAAGACCTTTACCAACATGAGGGTCATAGGGGAATTGTCCCTGAGATAGAGACCCATCCTCCTGGACTTGGGCACTGGGCCATGACATCAGCTACTCAATTTAGAATTTTTTTCCTTGGTTTCTTTTTTAAAAACGGGTGCTAGTAGTAATTGCTTGATGGCATCATCACCTAACTTGTGAATGATTTTCAAATGTTCAGAGCCATTAGCTTTGTATGGACATAGCTATTTTTAATATGACTTGGCGCATTGACTGTCTTCTCATTCCCAGTTGAAGATTCCAGAGTCACCTCCTCTTCTCTTGCTTCTTCAAGGGCAGCCCAAGTTGACTGGATGTTTGGAAGTCATTCTTTCCCTCACCCCCTCACTTCAGCCTCATTAGCCTCTCCACATACTTCCATTTTTCCTTCCTGCCTCAATTCCATCCCCTATCAGTTAACTAAGGCCAGGCTATGTATTAGGATCTGGGGACAAGATCTGGTCCTGCCCAGGTAACCTGTCTCTTACTTTGTGTACTTATCTTTCCCCACAGATCTTGCTGGTCAGTAACGCTAATATTTAAAGGCAGAATTTTGATTTTTAGAGGTCCTGTTATCCTGATTGATCTGAATTCACTCACTCACTCCTTTCCTTCTTTTTGAACAGAGTGAATGATTCTTGAGAGCCATTCATTGTTCCATTTCTAGGAACAGATGAGCCTCTATACCTGCCTCTCCTAGAGACATGGATGCACTTAGTTTGTCTGTGAAAATCTGATTTCAAAAATCTTTCTCTAAGACAAATTGTGTTCCAAGTGAGTTGGTTGCCATGACAACCCTGGAAAAGCCACTTGTTCCTCTCCATTTTCAACAACTTTTGATCAGTATTGCAAAGCACAGAAAAACTGGGCTATGGAGATGCCTGTCCTGAGGGTCTCCCTGTGGAATCAGCTTGGGCCTCCTCTCTACCTCCTGCCCTTGCCTATTGGCCAGGAAGTGTTTCTGCCTTAGGAGGCATTTCTCTGCTCATCAGGGCTGATTAATGACTGAAGCAAACAGAGACAGTGTATACATTCACGCACCAGGGTTTTGTTTCTATCCCTTTGTGAAAGTCAATCAATTACTAGTTTAGTGGATGGGTGCATAAAGTTCTTGGCTGAGCCAAAGTCCCTTCTTGGAAATACAAGCCATAAAATTCAAAGGATGTCAAAGACCTTGGCTTGTTTAAGTGATTTTACTTCCAGCTATGAGTGCCCTTGGCAAGAGGAGTTTAAACAAGATTCTACAGACCTGCTCATGAATGTGTAGGTAGGGAAAGCACTTTACAGATGTTAAGTGGGGTGCTCAGTGGCAATGTGCTTACTTATACTTAGCCAGGCCACCCTCTCATTCCCATGATCCTCTCACCCCCAAAATCCTTGTCTTTTTCTAGGTTTTTTGAAGTAGTTGACATACAGTATTGGGGTTTTTTGACTTACAGTAAAATTTACCTTCAGTAGGGTTTAGTGAATTTTGACACCCTTATACCTTCTAGTCAACACCACCAAAATTAACATATTTTCATTACTACATAAAAAATTCCCTCCAACTCTTGTAGTCAACCCCCTCCTACATCCCTAGCCTCTGGCAAAGACCAGTCAACTTTATGACCCTGTAGTTTGTCCTTTTCTAGAATGTCCCACAAGTGGAATCTCTCTGATGCAGCCTGAGTCTGGCTTCTTTCACCCAGTGCTGCTGAGCCACTGCTTTTGTGTATCGGTGCTTGTTCCCTGGGTCACGGAGTCACCTCCGGTTGTATGGCTGTCCCACATAGCTTCCTTGCTTTTAAATGAGCTGTTTGCCCTGGCAGTTCCTGGCCTGGGGTCTTCTTCAGCTTGTTTGCATGGCCATGTCCAGCCTGCTAGCCCCTGCTTATGGCTCCCAAGGCTTTTCTTCAAATGCCAGCTATGCCCACAAGTCGTCGTTGGGGCTCACACTTTCCTTTCAGGTTCATTTTAGAGGCAGAAACCTGCCAGCAACTGGAGGGAGGAGTGGCCGTCTAGTGGCCTTCTTCTCAGTGAGCAGATTCACTCTCTGTGGGGCTGCCCACTTTAGCTCGCATTTGGTGAGCAGTAGGAGGTGTGTGAGGCAAGTGGACATGACATAGCTGGGGCCCGGTGACCTGGTCATGGGCTCCTCACCACCCTTCCCTGGGTCTTTGTTGCTTCGTTTGCAAACAGAAGGTATTTGTTCTAGATGATGATCTCTCAGGCTTCCTCACCAGCTGTATTCTACCTCCCGCCCCTTCTCATTTCCACCTTTGCCCCCTCTGACCACCATGGCCATACCTAACTTGGGTCACTGTTCATGGCCTTGTCCAAAAAACCTCATGAGAAGGACACCCTGACTCTTCCCCATTGAGATGCAAATGGAGCTCAAATTAACTTTCATGAACCATTGAAATGAGGTAGTTCCTCCTTGACACCCTCCCCCATCACCACCAAAGATAGCTTAAGTCATTCATTATCTTTGAGGTCTCATCCAGTGACGTTTGATGGCATGTCCTGAAGGCTCTTTCTGAGGAGCCAGGAGAGACACGAAGACCAAATTGCCTATCAGCCTTCCTGTCATTGTTGGAACCTTGCTCAGCTGGAGTTCACACCTGACCTGTGCCTACAGCCCACTGGCTGGTGGCAGAGATAGGAGCCAACCTAGCCAAGGCCTGGCAAGCTGTGGCATGAGCTCCAAGGTGACCACACCTCTAAGCCACATCCCCATCATGCTCTGCTCAGAGAAAAGTGAGTGCAGAGAGGCAACCAGAAAATTTCAGACATTCCTGGACACTCCTGGATCCCAGCCAAATGAAGATCAGGGCAGTGGAGCTCAAGCCCACAGGGTCCACTGTGGGGAGCTGAGCATCTCTGCTGGGATGCTCTGGGTTGAATTTTGCCAGGGAGCACTCTGAACACCTCCTCCCCCTGCACTTCCCCACAGTGTTACTGCTCTTTCCTGAAGGGAGGGGCCCAACCCCTGTTATAGATCTAGGTGAGAATAAGTGACAGGGCTGGAGTACAGCCCAGCCAGGAGGGGGGGTGCTTCCAGGGGAGAGGCTATAATGGCTTTGGATTTTGTGTGCTGTTCAGGAGACACTGACCTTTTTTCTTGGGGAACTTCCTAATGGGGTTGCAAAGGGCCGGAGTGCATGGGTACGCTGGGGAGTGTGGCCTGGGACAGAGAGGAAGGCGTGGTACGAGGTAACAGCTCTGAACGGCCTCACCTCGTCTCATTTGTTGCATAACCTGAAGTAAAGTCACATTCTCTCCCGGACCCTCTGTGTGCCCATCTGTTCCCCAGAGACACTCCCCTTCCAGTGTCTCTCAAGCAGATCAGTTCTCGGGCTGTGGACCCAGGGACAGGCATTGACGGGGACAGTGGTCAGGGCGGGTGCAGACCCCAAACGTGCGTCTCTTCCTTCCCCTTAGGAAGGTGATGGGGGGGTGGGGGGCTGTCCTTTCACTGACACGAGCACATCAGCAAACCCAAGAAAGTGGAATTTTCTAACAAAGTAAACTTGCTTGTTTGGTCTGTTTTCTGTAACTTTTGCTAAATACTTTATACATTTTTAATGTTAAAAAGCTGTGTCTCCTGCCAGCATTCCTCATCCCGGTAGGTATGAATGTGTTTACTCTACATTGTATACCCTTCCATCCTCGGCTGCCCTAGATCAGTAAATAAAATCGATGTACTATAATTTATAAGTAACACTGTTGAAACTCTGATCCCTATGGAGGCTGTAATCTGCCTGCCCCCTCCCTGCCGTAATAGCATTTGTGTGTATTAATGCTGAAGAATTAAATGTCTAAAGGGTTTAAATTTTAAAGGCGTTTGCTATATATAATTGTTCTGCTTTATTATAAAGCATTTTCAGGAAGTTAAAATGCACTTTTTTTTTTTTTTTGCTTTGGTTCTCTGTGTACACTTGAGATGCTTAGATTCATCCCATGTAAAATAAACTGTCCAGAGACACTGGGTCCCGCTGGGCGACCCTCCTTCTGGAGAGCTGCCACGCTCCTTTGTACAGCCTGTCTCAGACTTCCTCCCAGGCTCCAAGGGTTGGTGACTGACTTCTGGTGACTTAGCAGAGGGAATCCTGGGTGTTGACCCCAATGGGTACCAAGCTGTGAGCCCACACCCCAGGCCTAGGCCCCATCCCTCTGGGTCCCAGCCCCCTACCTCACTTCCACCTCCAGAGCTTCTGGCTATTAATCTATTCTCATCCATTCATCCATCCATGCATCCAGTAGTTACTGGGTACCTACTATATGCCAGACACTGACTTAAATCCTGGGGACACATTGGTGAGTGACCAGACAGAGACCCCACCCCACCCTCACAGAGCTTACATCCTGCCACAGAGAGACATTCAAAAACCAAGATTAGGTGTGATAATGAAATTATATGAACAGTGGGGGTTGGAAAGTGTTGAGTGCTTTAAAAAAGGAGAATCCATAGTTGGAGAGGTGAGGGTGGGTAAGTTGAAATGTGAGACGGGGTGTTTGGAGAGGGCATCATTGAGAGTCTGGCATTTGATCAAAGACCAGGAAACCTGGGAAGCAGCCTGGGAGGTACCTGAGGGAGGACAAGTCCCAGGCAGAGGAGGTAGCCTGGGTTAAGTGCTTGTTTGGGCACGTGCTTGTTTGAGGCCAGTGTGACTGGAGCACAGGGGTGGTGGGGGATGAAGCAGCCTCTGTAGGACTTGGTGGCCACAGTGGCCATTGACTTTTACTCTTGGGGAAGTGGAGGCCTCAGCCGAGGGCACATGGCTGGCTGCCTTGTTACAGGATTCACTGCAATGCTGCAGGACAGGTAGAGGCAGGGAGACACAGAAGCGGGAATGCAGGGAGAGGTGACAGGAAGGGTCATGTGGAGGTGGGCACACGGGCTTTGAAGGCTGAGCTAACGTGACTGCCTGACAGCCTGTGGTGGGTGTGACAGAAGAGAGTGCTGAGGACAGCTCTGAGCACTTGGGCCCCAGCATCTAAAAAGGTGCACCGGGGTTTATTGTAATGAGAGCACCCTGGGTGGAGCCTCATTGCCTGGCCTGTCTCCCACGGACCCTCCTCATGTCCCCTTTTCTCTCTCATGCCCATACAGGCTACAGGCCAGGGAAGAAGACTCATCTTGTCCTTCAGCTCACAAAAAACAAAGGTAGCTCATTCCTCACACAGGGCTGAGGGCTGAGGCCTGGGCTCCCCTAACAGTCAGCACACAGCCCCTGGCTTGGGTGCAGCAGAGACAGCCTCTGGGAAGAGCCTGTTTCTTTCAGTTAAGACAAGGCCAGGAGGGGGAGACACAAGCTGGGACTGGCCAGAGACGAGGCCTTCTCCCCAACAGTGGTAGTCAGTGGTCTTTGGGGCGTGGGGAGAGTTTATGCCCCAGCTCAGACTTAACAAATCCATTCACAATACATCATCTGCAACAACTTGTTTGGCTAAGGAGCATAAACTCTCCTTCTGAGAGATGATGTTTATGCAGGTTTTCAAACAAACCTCGGGTCACAACCCCTCTCTCCACAGCATCAACACAGCTGCCTGTGGTCCCGTCCCACGCCAGCCTCCTGGGCACCACAACCTGAGGAGCGTGGGCAGTGCCACATGGACTGTGCCAGGCTGCTTCCCTCCTGGTTCCTGCTCCATCCTCCTTGCTCTTGGGAAGGGCAGAAGAGTCTGAGGACTTCTGCATTAGTCTTCTCTGCCTGCGGCCTCTTCCCCTGCCATGGCCCTCACCTCTGGAAGTGGAGCTCCTTCCCCCTGGGTCCAGGCCTCCTAGAGAGAGGGGACAGCTGTAATTTGAAGGGTCTGGAACTTGGGGCCATGCAGGGCTGTCCTTTCCTCCTGGCTTTGCCTTTAACAACCATGTGACCCGGCAGCCTTCCTGCCTTCCTGTGACTACGCAGTTATCTCCTTTCTCCTTTTCCTAATAAGCCTGTCCTTGAAAGATATAGAAACCAAACAAAAAGGGCAACCATGTGACCCAGGTGGATGTTTTGCCTCTCAGAGCTCCAAGTCCCCCTGTAACGTCGGCCTGGCCACACCTGCTGGGGTTGTGCACAGACCTGGCGCCCACGAGACACTTCGGTGGCCCCCACGCCTGGTCAGAGACAAGCAACGGAAGCATCGATCTCATTTTCATGACCTGGGTTTTAATTGTTTGCTTCAAATGTGTTGACTGTCTTATTTCTAACCGCTCTTGAGAATAAAAACCTTGCTACAGGATACTGAAAGTGTGGAAACAGAGAAAGGGCTATTAAAAAACAATATCCTGGGCTCTCCCTGGTGGCGCAAAGCCCATACAGCACTGCAGTATGAAGCTCTCCGAAGCCACTGCAACACCAGTTCAATCCCCGGCCAGGGAGCTGACCCCCATGGCAGAAGAACCTCCTGACCTGCCTGCTGCTCCCCTCAGCAGTGTACTTCATCAGTCGGCCTATTCTGCTGCCCACTCTGCCTCTGGTGAATCCTCTCACCCACCACACCTCTGGCCTGTACCCCAGTTCTGTATGCATAAATAAATAAATCTTTAAAAAACAACAACAACAATATCCTCTTAAGGGGGGCAGGAATAGTAACGCAGGCAGGAACAAACACACCTGACACTAAGACTCCCGAGAACGATTCTGGAACAGCAGGGGGTCAGGTGCCAGTGCCTGGACTTCTCAACCCATCCTGAGCAGCACCAGATGGGCCTGGCCAGTGACTTTGTCCCAGCTACAGGGATCTGCAGCACCCGTCAGTAACAAGCATGGCATAAAATAGGGTGTACGTGCCAATTCACCTGCCTAGAGATGATGTGACTTATTCTTTGTATTAACCACTCCTGGGCCAAGAGGTTACTTCTCTCCATTCCAGTGTGGCAATTCCAGCGTTCCAGGCATGTCTTCCTGCAACACTTCTCAACTAAGGGCGCTTCCCAGTGGGTGATGAGAACTCAGTGCAAGGTTTTTCCGCATGCCCCATCCTTGCAATAGCGTCTGTCATGAGGAGAAGCCTCCTGTCTCCCGTGCATCCACTCACCCACTTGGGAAGCATGCATTACAGCCCACCAGCTCCAGGTGAAAGGCACTTTGCAAAATGACAAACTATGGGATGAACCGATAAGATGTATTTGGCCTATACCATTGTTTTGTTTTGTTTTGTTTTAGTCTGAATTAACTTAATGTGTGTATGTTTGAAAACTGCCTCTACAAATCAGATTCCTGGATTCCTCTTGGATGACTAAAAATTCTAGGGACACTAAGCCAAGGTGGAGTCAAAATGGAGTCATGTTGGAGCAGCCCTGCACCCCCAGGCCCAGGCCCCCACCCCCAGGCCCAGGCCCAAGGAGGCCAGTGAGGCCTTCACCAAGGCTGGGTGCAGACCAGGCCATCAGGACAAGCGACGCAGCACAGGGCCAAACCAAAGGCAGCGGGTACTGTGACTGGAGGTCCTCCCCTGCCTGAGTGCTGGGGAGGGGGTAGGGCAGAGTGGGCATTTTAGGGGCTCCTAGGCAAAGAAGGGCATGGGGCACCCGGTCTCTTCGAGGGCGCCCCTGCAGCCTACAACCGCCCACTGCCATGGATACTGCTGACAGCAGCAGCAGGTGGCTGCACCTTGCCGGCCCTGTGGCCGCAGGACTTGGAGAGACGCTGCCCCAGGCCCAGGTGCAGACACTGCTCGCTGAACGCAGCTGCACCTCACTACCGTTAAGTAGCTGGACACTGTCCCTCTCCCCTGTAGCTCTCCCTCCACCCTGTTAAAATAAATCATTTTTCTGCTTTGCTGCACCAAGCTTTCTGTATTTATAGTGAGGCAGTGAAGGTGCAGACCCAGAACAAGTGAGACAGGATCTGGCTGGTAAGCTTTCATACCCTTTCCTGCCAATCCTTCCACGTGTGACACAGGCCTCTCCAGTCCCTATTACTTCCCTGGCCCACCTCACTCGGTAGCTCCCATGGGAGTTTGCCATCTCTTGTAGGTGAAGGGGACATTCAGCACTTACTACTTGCTGGGCTCTCTCTAAGGGTATTACACACAGAGACTAAGTCATTTCAGCCTCACAATAGCATGGAGATGGCCGCTATGGCCATACCCCTTCACTGGAGGAACATTCACTGAAGGCCTAAGCGTGCTGGGCACATTCTGGCAATGGAGCCACAGCCTGGGACAAAACAGAATTCCTGCCTTTATAGGTTTTCATTCTGATGAGGGCACTCACAACAAACAGTAAATCAGTGTGTCAGAAGGTGTATGTGTGAGGGAGAAAAATACAGCAGGACAAACAGTTGGGGCTGCCAGTGGTTGGAGGGGGTGGGTGTGCTATTGTAAATACAAAGATCAGGATAGGAATTGCTGAGAAGGTAATATTTAAGGAAAAACTTGAAAAGATGAAGGATTTGAAGAGAAAGTATTCAAGTTTGACGGGGATTATAAATGTGGCTGTAGTCACACAGCTAGTAAACTGGAAAGTTGGAACTTGAACCCTGAGCTGTCTCCACAATCAGCTTCCTAAGTACTGTGTTATAGGACTCACCGAGAAGTGCCATCCTAGGCCCTGAGAGCCTCAAAGTTTGGGTGTACAAAAATCAGCAAAGGGGTGCTCTTAGAAGGCTAAAGGGGGGTGTGGGAAAGAAAGAGAGCAGACAATGGAGAAGACTCCAGCCCAAGGCTCTGGCTCAGAAGTTTGAGTCCTGTTCTATCTCCTTGAAGGCCAAGAAGGA